TGTCAACCTTGACGATGTTGGAGAGAAATTGACGGCCATTGACAAATCCTTGTTGCTCTTCTTCGGTGTCCGACGCAACGGAGTTGAGGATGTGGTTCGTCGCGGAGGCGATGATCTTGATGTCACTGTTCTTCATGGCGAGGGGGCGGAGACAGTCAGGGCTGCGGGAGCACTCGTTGTTGCCCATGGGCTCGTCGCCCTTGGGAAGCATGGCCATGATCGCGTAGTTCAGGTCGTAGGGGATCGGGCCGCCGTGAGCAATGGAGTGGAGGAGGTCGTGGAGGATTGCGATGCTGCCGTCTGATCGCACCCGTGCGCGGTAGGGCAGTCCGTCAGGTCCAGGAGCTGAGTCACTGGCGAGTTTAGCTGCGGCCTGGAGTTCATCAATCCCAGGTAGAGGCCGATGGCGTGGAGGTGCTGGTGGGAAGACCATGTCCAGGTACTGCTGCATCGCTGGGGTGTCTACTGGCTTAGCCGCAAACACCTTCGACCAGTGAGATTGAATAGCACTGTGCATGCTCATGGGGTCGTTGGCGACTGTCGGGCCTCTGCCGTCGGCGATGCGAACGCCTGCGAGAATCAAGCGCTTCGAGAACGGCTTCCAGATCTCACTGCGCTGTTCAATACGGCGAGCACGACGTCGCCATTGCTCGCCAAGGTTGCGCCGGCGTTCCGCGTAGGCAGCTCGCGATCGGGCGGCAGCAGCACGACGAGGCTGTTCTGCGATCTGGCGCTGCATGGCTGAGTGCTCAGTCTCGAAGGCGGTGCGGTCGACTAGAGAGATCGCGTGGTGGCGGATGTCGATGTGTTGTGCCCCAGCGATGGTGTCGTTACGGAGCCGCTGGGCAAGAGTGAGGTCCTGGAACCAAATGGCCCTGGCAATGCTGCGGAGCGTGAGTGCACGTGCCTCTGCTATGACATGTGGGTCTTCCCTTTGGCTCCCGATCGGCATGATCTCGGAGGCGGAGAAGGTGGTGATGGTGTCGCGAGACTTGCGCGCCGCCAGCTTCATTATGTGCTTCATTGTCCGCCAGTTTGAGATGGGGTCGGCAGAGAAATCGGCCATCTCGACAAGGCGCTGGAAGTAGAACTTGTAGTGCTCGGACTCGAAGAGGAAGGCAGGGATGCCACGCTCGCTAACTGGGCGTGGCTGACGAGGCCGAAGTCGTAGATGTAAAAGTGTGCGATCGCTGATGGGCTCTCCTTTACGGTCAAGCGGTCTGCCATCGGCGACAAGAAGTGACTCGATGAGCGGGATGTTGGACGCGTTGATCGAGACGAAGCATCTGTCGATGGTCGCCTCCGTTAGGTTGGCAGCACATCGATGAGTGGTGACCTTCGCTGTGATCTCCATCATCTGTGAGAAGATGTTATTCCAGAAGACAGGCTGGTAGTGGTAGCGCTCGGCGGTGGAGTCCGCGGTGGGGTGGAGCAGGCTCTTCGGCGGCGTCTGAGCGAAGTTGAAGTCACCGACCACGTAGTAGTCGTGGTTGTCAGGGTGGAGGGCAGAACGTTGAGCAGCTGCTTGCCGCGCAGCTCTGAAGCGCTGTCGGTCAGAACCGCTGAGATCGTAGTTGTGGATGTTGAAGATGGTCGTCTCGTGCTGCCTTGCTCCATCTTGAACGCGTAATTCGCCAATGCGACCAGGGACGATCGCGCGAACTGTACGTAGGGGCCGTTGATCAGGTGGAAGTTGGCGTTCGGTTCGATCAAAGGGAACCAGGAAGGCGATGCCGCCAGCGGTCTCCGAGGAGTGGCCGTCAGCCACGAGTGCTGAATGGAAGGCTGTACTTGTGGTCGGTGCTCGCGGCCAGGATGTCCATGTCGATGCTGCTGCCGTGTGTCACTTGGAGGGCGATGACCGCTCGTTGCCGCATGTAGGGGGGCAGCAACTGGCGCTTGAGGGCCCGCCGTGATGCCGATCTGCCGTTGAGCGCCTGAGTGTTCCACGAGACCAGGTTGAAGCCGTCGGAGTGTGGTTTCGTGAACCACGGCGACCATCGTGTGCTAAAGCCACCGTACTGCCTCCAGTGGGTTGGCGAAGGCAGCAGCCAGCGCGGTAGCCAAGGGCGCGTGCTCGGTGGTAGGGCTGCCAGCGGGAGCAGCTGCGTCGGACCAGCGAACTTGGGTAGCTGCATCAGGCGTGGTTCCAGCCGTGATCTGGGCGATGGGGGCGCCGTTGATGGTCAGAAAGCCGCCCGCGCGGTGGACCCGAGTCTCGAGCATGGGGAACTTGCCATTGATGAGCTTGTTGAGCTGTTTGAGTTGTACTTCTTGTCGGACCATGTGGTGATTTGTCCGCGGAGACGTAGAGGGCAGTGGGGCCAGAGTCAGATTCCACTTGGAAGCGACGCCATTCTCGTCCTTGTCGAAGTGCGCGATGTAGAGCCTGGGCTCGCGGAAGAGCAAACGTATTGCCACCAATGAGTGTGAATGAAATTCTCCGCGCTGGGCCATCCGAGTTGATGCGGAGCGCGTTAATGTCCACGTCGGCGGCGTCGAACCAGGGGGCGAGCGCGGTCTTGAGCGAGGCGACGGAGAACTCTGATGCAGCACCACGCCAGAAGGTAGCTGCATTCGGTGGGCGGTCCCAGGCACCCATGGCGTCCAAGTCCATAGCTGGGTGGAGAGCTTCAGCATGACGAAGAGCTTGTTGGAGGGCGTCCACGCTGGCCTTGAGGTCGCCTTGGAGTCGTTCAGCTCGGTCAGCACGGCCTTTGAATTCGGCGATGTCCCGCTCGGCGGACTCCTGGCGGGTGCTGAGCTGTTCGGTGAGCTTCGAGATGTTGGCCATGAGCTCGGCTTGCGCAGCGGCAGCGACTTGCTTGGAGGTGGCTTCGAAGGCGGCGGCGGCTTTGTCGACTTGGGTCTGGAGAAGATCGGTGAGCGCCTTCCGCTGGTGTGCGGGTAAGTCGATTGCGGCAAGCTTCTGAGCGCCAGCGGCCCAGGGGTCGGCCACGGAGGCGTCCTTGCCCTTGCCTGTTGTCGAAGGAGTCGGCAGAGCTGGAGACGCCTGGCAGTCCCATCGCGGGGCGAGCGAGTACAGGGCCAGCGCTGCTGGCGAGTGATATGTAAGCTGCGTCTCTGCAGCAAAGGATATGGAGATGCTCAACGCCGCGGGCACGGCGAAGGCGGAAAGCAGCGGTCCTAGCAGTCCCCGGACCAGGGATCTCCGTGCTCTGCCACGGGGCACAAACATCTTGAGCCACAATGGCTACGGAGGAGGAGGAGGAGGAGGAGAAGAAGAGCGCCATCGACAGGGAAGGTGGGGGCCACGAGGTCCGCCGGCTCGACGACGCCCGCGTCGCCCGCGCCCACCCCCTCACTCGTATCCGCAATTGCGGGGTGCTATATATATATACACATACATATCCCTCGAGCCGCTTGTCTCTGGGAACTCGAGCTTTGTCTCATTGGTGCATTGCCCCCGCAGTAGAAGATGCCCGTGACGAGGCTGCTCGTCGCTTGCATCTGGATTTTTTCTTCGAGGCGACCTGCATGAATTCGAGTCTGCGACAGATCGTGTTCGAGTGCGGGGCCGGCATCATGTCCTGAAGCGGGGCCAAGGTCAGGACCCTCCTGGCGAATCTGCTGCCGACAGGGACCAGTGTACAAGTAAGCCTCCACAATTCCCAAGGTGGTGGTCGAAAACTTACGATGCCGTCCAAGCTCATCACAAAAGGGTCGCCCCGTGCTCTAGGGCAATCGATCGACGTGGCTTGTGCGTCGTGGTACGGCTCGTCGCAGGTGGACCCCTTCTCGGAGTCCGTCAGCCGATTCCATGTGCTCTGCCACATTGCGAGCCAAGTTGCTGTTCTTGATGGACTGGGCATCCGCGTCCATGACCAGGTGCTGTCTGAGGGCGAGCTCGAGCAAGGCGTTGCAGCTGCCCGAATGGACGCCCATCTTCGGTTCCAGCTGGCACTTCTCCGCCTCGATCGAGCTGGAGAGAGCAGCGCAGGACGCGTCGCTCAGTTTCATGGTCACGCAGCCCTCTTCGTGCGCGCTGGCTGCTCTTCGTCTCATGGGCTCGGACGACCGCCGGTCCCGAGGCCGTACCCATGCTCGTGCACGTTGGCCATGAGGCCGACCTCGAAGCCGCGCTTGCAGCTACTGGCTCGCGGGCTGGCGCGGCGGGAAGCGCCAGCATCGAAATGCGGTGAGAGCATTGGGTAAGGAACCATTGGATGAAATCGTCCAATGGTTCCTTGTTCAAGGGCTGGTGTGCCGAACTGGGCGGGGAATCGCATGTCGATGTTGCCACCGGGACCTTCGGTGGAGCTCCCTGCGGGGCCACGAAACGTATGAGGGGTGTGTTCAAATGGGCGGGGAACCGCATGTGGATTTTGTCACTGGTTTTTGCCACTGGGGCCTTCGGTGAAGCTCCATATTGGAGCCACGAGACGTGTGAGGGGTGTGCCCACATGGGCGGGGAACCGCATGCGGACTTTGCCACTGGGGCCTTCGTTGGAGCTCCATATTGGGGCCCCGAGACGTGTGAGGGGTGTGCCGGAATCGGCGGGGAAGCGCATGCGGACTTTGCCACTGGGGCCTTTGGTGGAGCTCCCCATGGAGCCACGAAGCGTGTGAGGGGTGTGCCGAATAGGTTGCGGACCCGACACCACAGGATGGTCGAGAATCCATCCTTGGACCTCTCCGGGGGCACGCTCTGACCAGAATTTCGAGGCGTAGCCAGCCAGCCGTGGCCACGAGGGCGCCCCAGGACGATCAAACACCTCCACAGAGCGAGCCTCGACCATCGAACCTCGAACCCTAACCGGAGGCCTCCCAGATGGGGTCGGAGTAGATCGGGTCGGAGGATCTCGGCTTATCGCCGATGCATCGGCGACGTCGGCGAAACAGCGGCGACGTCCGCGTGGAGAAGATCGGGTTGCCACATCGAGCCGCATCGCCGATACATCGCCGATGCGGCGCAACCCTCCGACCCCATCAACTCGGACCCCAACTGGGAGGCTTAAACTCCCGACCCCCTCGCAGTCCATCGCGAGCTCGTCCAGCGGCGCCATCCTCGGGCCGCGCGCCCCCGCAACCTGGCAGGCGGCCTCTGGACAAGGCTCCTCCCCGGGCTCGATCGGGGGCGCGGGCGGCGCGGCGCGGCGGCGGGGCGAGATCGCACCCTGCCTCCATCACCCTCCTCCGCGTCCGCCCCCACCTCACTTCTCCACAAGGTCCGTGACACACACCACGGTTTGAGGGCAGGAGGATTCAGCAAGCTTGCGGCGGTCATGCAGGGCCTCGTGGCAGCATCCTCGCGCGCCGCGTGCCCGCCTGGACAGCAAGGCGGGGAAAGCTGCGCGCCGGCCATTGGCAACCCAAGGCGGGGCAGTGCCACCGCTTCGCGGTTGCACTGCCCAGATCTCGCCTAGTGCAGTGCGGTGCCGTGCACTCGTTGTTTTCCGGACTCCAGGGCGGGACAGCAAGCACGAGCCTCGCGGACTCGTCCCGTGACTCCAGGGCGGGACAGCAAGCACGAGCCTCGCGGACTCGTCCCGTGGCGCGGGCGGCCACTGGCGGCCGTCTGTCGCACCCCACCCTCCCGCCCAGTGCGGGGTCATTTCCTCTGAGGGGCGCTGGCGCGGGGCCTTATCGAGTGGCTCGGTCCCAGCGCCAGCAGCGCTTTTGAGTTCATTGCCCAGTGCAGGCGCGATTGCTCGGAGGCTGCGTGGAAGTTTCATCCTCCTCCTCCTCCTCCTCCTCCTCCTTCTCGTCCTTCTCGTCCCCATCCTTGTCATCCTCCCGGCCACCAGGGTGTTGAGGCATTGGATTGCATCCTGCTGTTTTAGGTCAAATCTCACGAGGTGGGAGAGTAGGCTGGCGTATACACCATGACGTATATTGTGCTGGAATGCGGGCTATAACTAATCAAACAACAAACAGTCAACTCGACGGGAGACCCTCCGAATATAGTTCTGCGGATCCCCAGACCGTGTGCCCTTAAGAAATCCTGGCCACTGCCTGCTGCAGAAACAATGTGCGCGAATCAATGAGGGAGAACAAGAATAAGGAAATGCGGTGCTGAACGATCGGCGAGCACGCAAACCGAATGAAGCAAATCACGCGTACGAAATACATCGGCGACGTTGAATGCAACATCAAGAACGCTGATGCACAATCAGAGAAAAGCAGAAAATTACCACCAGTTGACATCCAACATACATGAATCCGCTGGCCCCTCCACATCGGTTCATACATCCATTAATCCGCACAGTTATCCATTCACACCTTCACACATCGATCGATACACATTAACCCATCCATGTATGAATTTACCATCAGTCCCGCCAGGTGGGCAGGGGACTCATGCGCAACCCCAAATCAAATGTCCACCCTCATTGATCAGTGTTCCATATGCGTCTCCTGTTGCCACCCTCGGCCGAGGCATCGATGCATATATGAAAGAGCAGATCATGCAACTCTGTTGCCATTGCGACACGCATCTGAGCTGTTGGATCTAATCACAAACCAGCCCGCATGTAGAAGCCAAGCATTTCTGCAACGCGCCAAGTACGGTCGCCCCATGGCTGTGCAAGCAAGCAGGGACGAACTCACAACACCGTCGCATTCAAGTCTTGAGGACCAAGCACATCCATCCCGGTTGTATCCCAGCGGCTTATCTGACAGTTGCCTCCACTTCCATGCCGACTTGTACCACAGGGGCATGTGCTGCACACCCTTGCTCTCAACGTACACGTGCCCAGCAACGCCACAAGCCGACACATGAATTCCGCCAGCCCCCTTGCGGGGCCATCAGGCTCCGAAGATTAGGCTTGCAGCTCCCTGTGCCAGTTGCAGTTTCCAGTTTTCACTGTTGCAGTCCTGCTTTCTGTTTCCTACCTGTTGGTTGTTGCTGAACGCGCGAGGGAGGGGGGGGGGTAGCCGAATAGCGTCCTGGTTAGCGTCCCCGAATCGCGTTGTCTGAATTCCTGGAGTGCCGTGGGACAAGTAAAGATACCTGATAGTCGCGTCCCCGAAGCCATAAGCCTGAGTGAAGTACGCCAAATTCGCGTCCCCGAGGCCATACAGCATCGTAAAGTATACTATGTTCGCGTTCCCGAAGCCATAATCTTTCGTGAAGTATACAAGAACAGCGTCCCCGAAGCCATCAACCTTCGTAAGTTACGCTATGTTCGCTCCCCCGCAGCCATAAACAGCAATGTACAACATATTCGCGCCCCCGAAACCATAAACCATCGAACCTCATACAAGAATCGCGTCCCCAGGGCCATAAACTCTCGTACAGTACACCATGCTTGCGTCCCCGAGGCCACACACCCTAGCAAATTAAACAACAGTCGCGTCCCCGAGGCCATGCAACCTCGCACATTACACAATATTTGCGGCCACAATCCCCCGTAGATTACACAATATTTGCATCACCGAGGCCACACACCCTCGTCAATTACGCAATATTCGCGTGCCCGAATCCATACACCTTTTTGTGAATTACCTAGTAATCGCGCCACCGAAACCATAAACCCTCGTACATTAATAGCCCTCTCGTGAAGTCTGGACATTGCTTCCAACGCAGCTCTGGCAAGTCTTATTCTCAGAGAGGGGGGCCAGCGGCATGGGGGCGAAGCCCTTACGGAGGGATAAAACGTATGCTATTCACATCACTCGAAAGAGCTCTAGGAGCAAGTGTAGAGCCCGCGAGTGTTTCATCGAAGAGAAGCGCTGAACAGGTATGCAAGCACATGTTGTGGTCTGAAGATATCGGTGAGTTGCTTTTGTCAGTCGGCTGATGCACTACAGCTCACATGTGCTCCAAACGCTGCGTGATGCTGATCACCCATGATTCCCTCTGTGCTTCGGCATCTTGGATCCTTTACGCTTCGGCATCCTGGCTTTTACCGTCGCTCACGAACCAGGATTCGGAATCGCTGCCACTCTATTGTTTATCATTCCTGTGTGCACTGCTGCTGTTCTATGCTTTTCAATTTTACGTTCAAGTACCTGCAACGGCTGGCGCCCAGCTGGTGCGAACCATATTAGTAGGTTCTTCGCACGGCTTGCTGGCCCCTCCTCTGCCAGTGGAACCATCAGGGCTTTGTTTATCCATACATACATGCGCTGACTTCTGCATGCGTTAATTGCCAGGCGAAGAAGAGCGTTGTTTTGTTGATTTCCTCAAGGGTTGTGGATATAGTGGCTCAGGCTTCTTCAGTGCTGGCCCAGCGCAGGCCAGCCAAACACGAGCGGTATCTTTGCTCGACGCGCCCAATGTGTGCGGGACTGCTCGCGCCGCCCTGCGCGGCTTGCTTGCCGCGCACGATCGGCCACACCCCCCACCTGGCGCGCATTTGTTCCATCCTGCGCGCTGGCGGCAGCCAGCGGGACAAAGAATGCTGCCGTGTCGCAGCAACGGCCCCTGATATCGTGTCGTTCAGCCCCGCGGGGCGGGGGGATGGGAAGAGCTCCGGACGCTGACGCTCGAGGACAGGAAGGGTCAGCGTGTCGGATGCACCAAGAGGCCACAGAGAACATAAACGGGCTTGCGCTCAAATAGATTGACCACTCTCCCTTCCCTGAGGTCCGATGTTGCGGACAAAAACGCAACTTCGCAGCACATTCACGACTGGAGTCCCAGAGCACATCCTTCTGCGGCTCTTTCGAGCCAGATCGATCTGTGATGGTCCCAGGGCCCGAATCTGAGCGAACATTCCCAGAGTGAGACGACTGCGACGCCAGGATCTCAGGGTACCCCGCACGAGCGAGGATGATGAGCGACAACAGTTCGGCTCGAGCTTGCCAGCTGGCCATCCGCACGGCTGCACAGGCCAGGCGAGCGGCGCGCGTGTGGTCGGTGCAGTGCGCCGGGGCCCGCAGAGAAGCAACCGCTCGCGGGGTGCTCGGGGATGCGCGGCCAGCTGTGGCCGGCCGCGCGCAGCGCGCAGCTTGCGGTGGAGCTGTGAGCGAGGATAAAACAATTAACAAGTTCGGTACAAATTGTTGTTGCTCGGCCCTAGCTTCTCTCGTGTCCAGCGCCGGCTCCACTAGGTGGAGCGGCGCAGTCATGCAGTACCTTCCTTTCCCCGCCCTATACTTGCTCCTACGCGCGCGTGCTGGACGAGGGAGAGGGCCATAGCCATTTGAACTCAGGCCAGTCTGAAGAGGCGACATGGTCGCCGAAAACTGCGCACAGTGGCTACAAAACAAGCTACCCAAATTACAGGTTTAAGATCGTCAGTTGGTGTATGTGTGGGCGACAGTAGCTTGGAGTGAGCTCACCAGCTGGCCAGTTGCGTAGCTATGCGCGAAGGCGAGCGGCGCGCGGCCTGTAAAGCATCTGTGAGCGAGGATGATGGGCGATAAAAGCTCGGAGTGAGCTCGCCAGCTGGCTGGCTGCAGGGCTATACAGGTGAGGCAAGCGGCACCCGGTCTGCAAGGCAGTTGGGCCTGCAGAAGGGTTAGCCGCTCGTGGCCCTCGGGGGCGCGATCTGATGAGGCCGTCTGTGCGCAGCTTGTGGCGAGGCTGCGAGTGATGAAGATGAGAATCAGCCCTGGAGGAAAACGGGTACTGGGATTTCTTCGCCGTTTTCGGACCTCCATAAGGGCCCACCATTGGCCGCGGCACGGTCAGAAACCGACTCTGGGTGAAGGACCTGCCCTGGGGAGATACCCGGGTTAGGTGACCCGTTCAACTCAGGGCTCAGGACCCTTGCCCTCCATGGCGAGAGGATGGCGGTTGCTCGCCGGTGGGGACCGCGTGATCGCCCGCGCAAAGCAGGGCCGCTGCAGCATCCCCCGCGGCGGACGAGTTTGTGGCCGTGCCGTCTGGGTGCCCCTTGCAGACCCGACTGATCCGACGCGCGAGGGGATGAGGATGGAGACCAGGAAGCTGGCAACGAACCACACACAACCAGAGACACACACACACACACAAACACACGTACACACCCCACGGTTGAATTCACATCCAGAGCACGCGGAGGCCAAATACTGGACGCGCACGCGAGGCCACCGCTGGGAAGCCGTGGGCCACGTGCGTCTCCAGCTCGCTCTTGGCAATTCTGGGCAGGCCCGTCACGGCTATTCAGCTTCGTGAAGGAGGTGCGCAGTGTGAAGCAACACTTGGCTTCCCAGGCCCATCCGCAGCGCCACCTTCTCTGTTCCCGTACCCTCTGTCCGTATATTTGTCTCGTTCTGCTGCTTGCTGCTTCTTCTTCCTCTTTCCCTGCGGCGGCACTTTCTTGTTCCCAAACTTCTCGTCGTATCGTCTCCTCCTCCTCCTCCTCCCACTCCTCGTTTCCTCGCTCTGCTGCTCTTTCTCTGGTCCTGCGGATCCTCCTTCTCCCCAACCTCCCCCCCTTCTCCCCATGCCTTCACGGCTCTTCCCCGACCTCCTTCATCCGGGGCTGCCTCTCCGCTGATCTTCTTACTCGTGAGATACCCGACACACTGGATGCTGTGTGCAAATTCTCTCAGATGCCCCGACCCGCGCGCGACCCACCCACGTTGCTTTGATGAAAATTCGGCGCCTGCGGCGAGCTCGTTGCGTAGTGGGCATAAAAGCGCCTGCGTCAGGCTTCTTCACAGACTCGCAGTCTGCCGACGATCCCGCCGCTCCCTCACTCTCATCCGCAACTGGGAGGGCTATGGGTACTCGCTGTCTAGAGGCTCTCTCGCGTGCGGGGTGGGCCTCAAGAGCCGATTCGTGGGCTCGTGGTTCGCAGCCACTCGTTGCCCTCTCGCCGCCTCGTGGCCCTCTCGCCCCCTGTTCGAGACACGATTGGAGGGCTCCTGGTCCATGGCCTCGTGGCACCTCGTGGTCTTCCTGCGAATGAGGTGATGCTCAATAGACACGACGTCGATGGCTCACTGTCCGAGGCCCTCTCATCCGTGGGTTCGTGGCCCTTGGTCCGTCGTGGCCCCCTCGCGTCCCTCGTGCATGTTGTGGGGCTGAAGAAAAGATTCGGTGGCTCCCTGCCCATGGCCCCCTCATGGCCCCCTCATGGCCCCTCGTGGTCCTCTCGTGCGGGTCAGGGCTCAAGATTCGGTGCGGTGCTCGTGTCCCATGGCCCCGTCCTGTGCAGGGTGGGCCTCGAGTCGGCTCGAAGTCACGTGGCCCGTGGACTTGCCCTATAGCCCCACATGACCCCTCGTGGCCCTGGCGTTCAGGGTGGGCCTCAAGAGCTGGCTCGCGTGGCCCGCTTGCCCCATGGCCCGACGCAGCCCTCCTCCGCGGGGTGGGGGGGGTCGGCTCGGTGGCTCGCAGCCTGTGGCCCCGTGGTGTGAAGCCGGTGAGTCCGCGCAGCGGCTCGTCCCCACTCGTGGCCCCGCCGTGCGCGGGGAGAAGCTCAACGGACCCAGCGGCTCGTGGCCTGCCAGCGGCTCCCATCCTGGCCCCTGTGCACGGGGCGGGCCAGATGAAGGCCCGGTGGCTCGTGGCACCACGGGTCGGCTCGGAGGCTCGTGGTCTCGGCCCCTGTGGACCCTCGTGTGCAGGGTGTGTCTCGCGAGCCGACTCGGTGGCTCGTGGCCCTTGGTCTCCCGTCTGCTCTGGTGGCCCTTCTCGGACCTCAGGCGGACTCCCCTCGTAGAGGCCTCCTAAATGGGGTCGGTGTAGGTGTGGTCGGAGGATCGCACCGCATCGCCGATGCATCGGCGAAGTATAGGCGATGCATTGGCGGTGCACCAGCAACGTCGGTGATGCACCGGCGACGTCGGCGTGGAGAAGCTTGCGAGCCGCATCGCCGATGCATCGGCGATGCGGCGCGATCCTCCGACCTCATCTACTCCGACCTCATCTGGGAGGCCTAGATATCGTTCAGGATCGCGAAGCTGAAGCTTAGGTCCGGTGGCCGGGGTGGCTCGCGATTCGGTTCGGCGGCTCGTGGCCACGGCCCGTTCGCGGCGGCCCACCTCGCGTGGGGGTGCGAGGCCAAGAAGTGTGTCGGTGGGTCTTGGCGCGCGGCCTCTGGTGACGACCCCCTGATGGCCCCCTCGTGCGAGGGGTGGTTTCCACGAGTCGATCCGCGGCGAGCTTGTGGCCCGTGGCCCGCTCACGGCCCTCTTGTCACGGGATGCGTGGGGTTCGAAAGTCTACGTGTAAATGACTGCCAGGAGAAATCTTCGATTCGGTGGCTCGTAGCCGATGGCCCTGTAGCCCCTCAAGGCCCCCCTCGTGTGGTGGTCTAACCTCGAGAGCCGAAACGGCGGCCCGTGGCCAATGGCCCGCGCGAGGCCCTCATGTGTGGTGGCGCTCAAGACTGGAGTAAGCGGCTCGTCGCCTCTGGCCCTGTGATCTCTGGTGGCACCCTCCTATGCGTGGTGAGTCGCGGGAACCAACTCGGTGGCTCGGGCTCGTGGCGGGCTGCCCAGGATCTCTCCATTGACCCCCGCTGCTTCCACGTTGCTGCGGATGGGCCTGCGGAGTAATCCGGACGCGCTCTACCCCTCGCCCCCTCCGCTGATCCGCGCGTGGGTGTCGTCGCCCCGCCAGTCGCCCCGCTTGTTCGCCCAGGCCATGTCGGTGAAGTTGCAGCCGGAGACCCCGAGGCTGCTGAGGGGCGGCCGGCAGGAGAGAAGCGGGGTCTTACGCAGGAAAACAGCGCGACCTTACACCGCGGCTTAGGCGGCCAGCATGGCACACCCCGCGGAGAAGAGGGCGCTTCGCCTTACGCGCGACCTTGCGCGGGAGCCTGACGCGCGAGTGTGCGCGCAGTCAGCCCCGTTTGTCTGCCGCTTTCGCTCCATCGGTGACGGGCACACGAGCGATGGCCCGCATGCGCCTCTTCTGGTTACCCCGCCACGCAGAGGCCAGCCTGGCCCGGCCCGGCTTGTCATGGCCCACGTGCCTGGGTGTCCCACGAGGTGCACTTGGGAGAGGGGAGGTGGGGGCACGCATGGGCAGGGGGGGAAGGATCGGAGAGGGGGAGGACTGAGGGGGAGAGGATCGAAGAGGGGCAGGGAGGGAGGGAGGCGGTGGCGGTGGGCGGCATGGGCGGCGGACCGAAGGAGGGAGGGTGGGCCGAGGGCTGCGAGCAGGAGGGGCGTCGAAGGAGGCAGGGTGGGTCGGGAGGACGGCGGTGGTGGACGGTGGAGGGAGGAGAGGGCAGAGGGACCCCATCCACCAAGTTTTGCCAACGACTCGACCCTCCAGGGCCGAGGGGGGAGGTGTTTTGACGTTTTCAGCCCTCGTCGGGCCTCAGGAGATCCTCCAGAGGACCTCCACAGGCTTTCCGGAACCTCTCGGGGGAGCTTCCGGGGGCAGGATCCGAGGCAGCAGCAAAACGTACCATCCACCCCCTCCCCCCTGCCTTTCTCATCATTCCCCCTCCTTCCTGCCCTCCTCCCTATACTCCTTCGTCCCTTTCACGGGCGCACGCTAACACGGATTACAATACGGATCCGTGGATCTGCATGTCTGTGCTTCCTCGATGTTACCCCTCTTGCCTCCTCCCTTTGCTCCTCATTCCTCATCCCTCCTCACCTCGTGGATCCTGCTCTCGCACGGTACGACGGTGGGGGGGCGGGAGGCTGCTGGGATGACTGCTGAGGGTGCTGAGGGGATAGTGGGGTTACACGTGGATGCTAAGGTGCGTGGCATCTGGCGTAAATTAGCTTATCCGCCACCGTGCCCTTGAGGCACGGGTTGGAATGTTCACAGGTCCCTTGTTCGATCCCCTGGAGCACCAGTCCTCAATCCGGAGGATTCTTTTAGGGGCCTGGACCCTGAATTGCCAAATTTGGTGGGGCTGCGAGCGTCTTCCCCATTACTTTTTCGAAGCCGAGAGGGCTCCAAGACGGTCCACGAGGGCCCCGAATTCCGAATCGCCGAAAAATCGGTCCAAGACGGCCGAAACTGCACCCAAGAGGCCTTCAAGAGCACCCTCAAAAAGAGCCCAACGAGGCAAAATCGTCAGATCCCCTTTCGGAAAGCGCTTATTTTTAGCAAAAACGACTCTTCGGCTTTCACTGCGTTGCAAACGGCCCAAGAGGCTCCCAGATCGCCCCAAGACAGCCCAAGAGAGCCCCCGGAGGGTCCCCAGACGGCAAAAGAGGGCCCCATGACGGCCCAAGCGGGACTCAAAGAGTGACCCACGAGGGGGAGGGTTGGAATGACATGTCGAGCTCCGCGCCCGAAGGGGCCCCCAAGACTGCCAGCAGGCCCCCATGAGCCTCCCAAGAGGCCCCAGGAGGCCCCCAAGGCGGCAAACGAAGCCACAGGAGGCTGCCGAACGGCCCCCAAGAGGCCCCAGGAGGCTCCCAAGCTGGCTCCAAGGAGTCCCCAGGGAGGCCTCGACGAGCTCCAACGAACATCCCAAAGGCCCCAGACCTCCAACCAAGGCACCGTGACGGGCTGGGCCGAAGGCCAGTATGAGGAGGAGGAGGAGGAGAGGCAGGTTCGGAGTATGTGCGTGGAGCGTTTGAGGGCAACAAGGGATTGGAGATCAGAGGAACAAAGCGCAGCATCAGCATAAACTTTTGGAGGTCCGAGCGACAGGGGCGGCGCCAGAGGCGCCGCCAGGGGGGGGCCAGCGCCGGTCCAAGAACTCCGCGCGGAGCTCCGAAAGTACATGTTTACGTGGCTGCTTCTTCTTCTTCTTCTTCGAGGGAGGGAGCATTGAAAACTCAAGGAGCACCATGTTCACAGACGCTGGCTTCTCGGGCCCAGGTCGGCTTCGCTTAGGACACGCGCCAGGCAGAAGGGAAGCGACAGCTGGACAGGAACGCTCGCTCAATTCCCCGATGGGCCTCAGGAGCTGGTTGAACCCGCCGACGGAGTAACTCTCGAGCTGCAGCTTGTGCACGTACTCTGGGTGGCGTGCCTGGCGCCAGCACGGTCGTCGCTGCCGTCGCCGGATCTGCAGAAGGCTACGGTCTAGTCCTCCTGGTTGGCGTGTCGTGGCGGCGGCCCCGGCGACACGCCATGCCCTGCGAGCGACTAGCGTGTCGCTCCGCTCCGCGGGGCGGGATCCCAGGGGGGACTTGTGACGTTGATGCCTGGGGACTGGGGCATGGTCCGCGTGTCGCGCCGAAGCGTGAGAACTGGCGGCGCGAATCAAGGCTGTAACCCGGCGAACACCGCTCGAATTAGCATTTGAATGATGCTGCCGCCCACCCGCGAGAAGCTCTTCTACCGCGCGGCTGTCGGCAAAGGCATCGCTGAAAAAAACAACGGGGAGCGGGGCGGCCTGGATTGACACAGTGATCATCGTTTTCTTCCCCGTCCCCCGTCCTTGAGCGCACTCAGCTCCTCAAGCGTGCTGCTGCTGCTGCTGTTCATAGTCCTCCATATGTTCTCCTTTTATTCCTCCTCCCCCGCCATCCTCCCCAGTGCAATCGGTTGACTATTTTGCTAGAGAGGGGGTTTAAATATTTGGGTGCGTCGTTTGCATTGGTCGAGACCGAGGTTCGAAGGCTCGCGGCGTCGGTAACAAAAGTGGGGACGACGCGCGCGCCGTGGGCTGCTGGAGCGCTCGTTCTTCGTAAAACACGCAATGCTGAAACGCTAGACGTGGGCTGCTGGAACGTTGCTCCTCATAAGTATGTGGTGCTGGCACGCGCCCTCTTTTCCGCATGGAATGTTGTCCCTCGTGGAAATTGGGGGCTGGAGCGCGCGCCGTGATCCCCCGACCCTTGCCCTTCTCGTCGTCCTCGTCGTCGTACCCGTCGTCCTCGCTCTCTCTCTCTCTCTCTCTCTTTCTCTCTCTCTCTCTCTCTCTGTCTGCTCTGATGTAGTTCACCTTGGCACACGCCAATGTTGAATAAAGTAAGTATAAGCCAGCATATCTCAACAATCGAGTATGTCAAATTGCAGATTGCCTCCACTGTTGGTCACATCATCGCTTACCGCAGATGGCTGCAGTAAACTGCTCATGTATGATATTGGGCGCGGTCTTCTTACATAGCGTAGATTCGAGCTGCGGATCACGTTGTATATCGCGATAAGAGAGAAGCATGACAACGATTCTCTGGAATCTCGGTACGTGTGCTATGGTCGTCCAAGATATTCTTCCAATCAACAGCTGTACGGCGTGGTCCAATCGGGTGAAGTCCTTGATGCCCAAGTGGATTGCATAACCTCCTCGACCGGGCCGTCAGCTTCTGTGTTTGCTTGTATTGCCTCAAGTTTCGTAATGGTAGATCCTTGTTTGGGTCTTTGAGTGGGGCCAATGTGGTATCCCTGCTGTCGGGCTTCTTCACGATTGCGTTATATTCTTTCTGTTTAAGCAGCGAATTTCTCCACTTGAGCCCTCGAAGATCTTGCGCCTCTTGATCTGTCCACTGCACTGTCTCATTTACAACTCTCATTGATGTGGGATGCTGCTGTCCGTTTGTGACGCCAGCCTCACGAGCGGCGAAAGCAGCGCAAGCAACCAGGCCCGTCGGCTTGACGTTATCCCTGGTATTCGCCTCCAGCTTGGGCGGTGTCTAAGTTGGTGTCGACAAAGTCCCCCATGGTGGTGGTATCCGCATGCCTGCTTGCTTGTCGGTAGTCGCCTACGCCACTGCGTACAACGTCTTCGTCAACCCATCGTGGTTGCCGAGGGTCGGCCAGCACACAATAAAGCATGTACTTTTCCTGGTCCCCAGCGGCGTCAGCGATTCACATGTTACATTGGTACTTCGTGGTGCGAGTCTACACTTGCAGAGCAGGGCGACGCGGGCTGCTGCTGTCGAGAAGTACCTCGCCATGCGCTCGAGCGTCGCCGTCTCTGGGTTCTCTTGATGGGGTTACAAGAGGTAGGCCAGTTGCGATAATGAAACCAAGCGCCTGCTCAGCCCATGAAACTGAGAGTGACGCCTTCGAAGTATCATAAGCAGCCCCAACGGTGAAAAATACCAGATGATAGCTGGGAAAAGGGCCTGTTGGTAACTCCATTGCTTCGTACACAGCTGCTCGGGTAAATGTGGCTGGAAGATCCACCCAGCAATATTCGGATCCACAGGGTCCCAAGTGAATCCAGGACAAGCCACCTTTGGACTCCAAGTGCGTGGATTGTCGGCGATAGGGTCAAACGCATACCCTGAGGATGACGATGCCGCCAGATTCGATGCAGGCCTCGCTGATGCTGTCGCCGATGATGATGATGATGATGCACTCGCAACCAATGTACATGGTGGCGGTGCCGACTTGCTGCGTATCCGTCGTGGAACTTGCGGGGGGGGTGCTGCTTCTGGTACTTGATGGTCTGGCTGCTGCTGCTGGGGTACGTCAAGCTGACCACCGTTTTGGTCCATGTCCAAGTAGGCCCAGAGGTCGTACTCCTCGGCCTCGTCGTGCAGGTCGCAGTTGAGCTCCTCCAAGACGGCCTCCAGCAGCGCCTGGGCCTGGGTGCAGCGCTCGTCACGCTTGTCCCTGCCCACGGCCTGCAGATTCTTCGCCCTCTGCTCCAATAGGATCGTTGCCGTATGCTGCAATAGATAACATAGATGCTGATCCTGCAGGTGTTGTCGTCGAACCTCTGCGGGCACTGAGTACTAGCGCGCAGCACGGTCAGCACCCTCATCAGCACACTTAGTGCCTTCCCACAGCGGTCGTTCATCTTCATCGACGTCTGCTGCGCTTCGATGTGCCTTGATTTTTTCAATGCGAAAGTTGTCGGCGCCTTTTGCAATCACTCCAGTCGACGCCCACAAATCTCGGTGCTGCATCGATGTAATAGTATCTGCGCGTAGCAATGCATTGAACTGGCGCGCGCAATAGTTGCTGTCTGTCAAATAGGGCTGCTTACACCAAGCCCAGTCGTCACAATGGCGTAGTGTTGCTACTTATGTTCGTTGGGCCCCCCTGAGATACGCTTCGGAAAGCTACGTCCACGTTGCAGTTGTGATTTTGTCCATGATACAAGCTACACCCAGATCGCCGCAGATCGCCGCAGACGTATTTCAGATGCCTGCCCAGGAGAGGCCCCATCTCTAGCAACCACTAAGTAGCCATCCTTCTTGAGTAGTATCTCCTCTTCTCCTCCTCCGACCTCGTAGTCTTCATCAACATGGTGTGGTGGTGGTGGTAGGTCAGGCTCGTCGGGGAGCAGCTCCGAGAAGAAAGCAGCATATTCAGGCCTATCTGGTAGTAGACCAGAATTTCGTAAGCACAGAGGTAGCTGCTGGAGGAGAGCTTCAACTGTGTGATATTCAAGAAGTGGATCGTCGTCGTCGTCCTCGTCGTCGTTGTTGTCCTCGTCCTCGTGGATCCTCGTCGTCGTCCTCGTCGTCATCGTCGTCGTCCTTGTTCTCGTCGTCGTCATCGTCGTCGATCCTCGACGCTCGAGGACCGACCCCCCCTGGCCCTGCTGCAGTCGCTGCTCTTCCCTCGCGGGGTGGGGGGAGGGGGGGGCGGAGAGGCCGCGCTCGGCGATTCCGAAGGGTGTGGTTTGCAAAAAGGTGCGGTTTGCAACTGGTACCCCGGGGGGGGCACCCTTCGGAGGCGAGCCTGGGGGGAAGTGAGAGGGGGCGGGCCTTCTCGGGAGCCTCAGAAGGCCTTGGGCCTCCTGAGACATGTTCGAAGCCTCCCCGAAGACACAAACAACTTCTGAAGGCCCGAGATCTTCTGAGAAGCCACGCCGCCTTCTAAGAAGGCCCGCTCCTCCTCACGTTTCCCTGGGGCGCGCCGCCGAACCCTGGGGGGCGGGCGAGGACCTCGATTGGGTTCTCCGCCGCGCCCCGATGCGGCCCGACGAGGACAGCGTCGTGCCCCGCAGGCCCCAACGGCGCCGATCGCAAAGCACACCCTGGCGTGACCATACCCTTTGCAATCGCCGACACGCGCAGCCGATGCTCCGGTCGCCGTGAAGGCTTGCCGAGGGAAGTGCTGCGGGCAGCGGGGCTCAGCCCAGCTGCGCGCACCAGCCGTGGTGCCCCGCCCGACGGCCCGCAGGCCCCTGTTGAGCCCAAGGCGGTCCTCACTTCATAGTCTGGACTGTGCAGCGACCTGCCCTGCCGGACGCACCTCTGCGCCTCTGGGCTGCGAGGCGTCCCTCGAGAGCCACCGCCCTATAGGCGGCCCGCCCCGGGCCCCAGGGCGTGCCCTGCCCAGAACTCCGACGCGCCGCCGGCCGCGGCCGCGACGTCCCCCGCCCCTCCCGGGCTCCCGCCGAGCCCCTTCCCGGGAGGGGGGGCGCGGGCATGTGGCCTGCGGGGGGGCCCCTCGCTACCACGGCAGGACGCAGCTCAGAACACTGGTGCGTCTGGACCCCGGGACATGTCTGGAGCCCCGTCTTGGGCTGCCGCTGTCTCAACCCGCCCTGCTCCGACTCTCGGCCCCCCCCTGATCCTCCCCGCGATGAGCTGGGCCGCTCTGCCTGCCACAGCTCGAGGTCGCTCGTGTAGGCCTCGAGACTGCTCAGGGACAGGAACTTCTGGAATTGCGAGTTGTGCTGCCTCGTGGTGTTCCGGCGCGTGTTGACGATGAAGCGGGCGCAGGGGAAGACCTCGCGCCGCCCGCACCCGTGCAGCCGAGAGAAAGCGCAAGAAGAGCAGACATTCTCGCGTCGTGGAAAAATACGGGCGGGACGTCTATGGCTGCCTTCGGCCACCTCTGAGGGCTCTCGCCAGGCTTCGGGACCCTCAAACAAGAGTTCATGATGAACAAACGGTCCTGGGGAACAGGTCGGGACTTCCGGAGACCCCATAGTGAAAAAACATAAGATGTCAGATGTCTGGGGACGCAGTCGGGATTTCTGAACACCTCGAACGGCAACGCACCTTTGGAAGTCTTCTGCGCAGGCGTGGTGGAAGGGAGATGACGAGCCTGGTTCGATGTGAGCGATCCATATAAATAATATCATGCCAGCCCAGACGCCTGGCAAAGGGCAGGTGCGATTGATTTGTCTGCCCAAAAATTCTGACGATGACCCTCCTTCACTCCTTCTTCCAATCCTCTGCTCCGTCCCTCCCTTCCTCCTTCCTCCCCCCTCCCCCTCCGCAGTAGGCACATACAATGAAAAGTCCTGCTATCAGAAATCTAAGGCGCATCCTTCCTCGACTCCGAGCTTCGCAGGATGGCCCAGGGCTCTGCGGCCCCATCGGGGGATACGTGAGGAATTGTCGGGGTGCACCCGCTGGCAAGCTGATTTACTCATCGATGAGCCTGCTGCGTTGGCATGCTGACAACAAGGTCTCGGGCATCCTACGGCTGGAAGAGCTGGAGGCAAGCCGGCGACGGGCCGTTTTGACTCGGTGCTCCTGCATCATCCTCCTCCTCCTCCTCCTCCTCCTCCTCCTCCTCCTCCTCCAAGCACGTTCGCCATGCCATCCGCCAGGCTCAATCCATCGCGCACTTTTGATGCAAGTCTCGACGCATCGCCTGACAAGAACTACCGAGTGTCGTAAGGAGCCGAACTCTATGCACCCATGCATTCTCCGGTCCCGCACTGAAATGTTTAAGTAAATCGGGTCCTGGTGTATACGGGATCCCGGTGTACACATTTTTTTTCCCGGGGGAAACGGGGGAACAACTATGCACCACGCACCACCCCGACGACGTCCCTGATCCTCAAAAAGTCCTGAGAGTGAAACACAGCGCGCCACGTGGATACTCCATTGCGTAAAGGTGTCTCTGGCGCTTCCTGGAGGATCATTTGCCGTGCAAGAGATGCCTCCTTCGACGTGCTCGGCCGCGGCTGGGTTCCTGCGGGCACTGGCCAGCAGGCTGGCTCAACGCAAAATTCCTGCGGGCACTCCCAGCTGACTCAGCAGCTCCTTCTCGTGCTGGTCCTCCTTTCCTCCTCTTGTTGATATTGTACCCTCCTCCTCCTCCTCCTTCTCCTCCTCCTCCTCCTCCTCCTCTTTCTCATCCTCCTCATCCTACTACTCCTCCTTCTCCTGATCATGCTGCTGCTGCTCCTCCTCCTCCTCCTCCTCCTCCTTTCCTGCTGGTGGTGGTTCTCCCCCTCCTCCCATTGGTTCAGGGCCGGATCGCCCCGTCATCGACTCCTCAACTGAACGAGAAAGATGATGATGGTGGTGATGACGATGATCAGATCAGAACCCATGCATTCGAGCCCCTAGGATCGGGCTACACTCGAGCTTCAGCTTACGATGCGTGACCGAGCATGGTCGCAACTCACGGCCGTGACTATAGCGGCTACCAACGCTCACGTCCGAGCCGCTCGACCGTGCAGAAAAACCCGCCCCCGCAGTCGCATTCAGCTCCGAAGGGCGCGCGCGTTCCAGCTTCTTCGCTCACAGGTCGGCACCTGCGAGGCTGTCCACCCATCGCCTGGCCTCTGCAAGAACTCCTATTCGTGCGATGATCGATCGTACGATTGCGGACTGGAGAGGCAACCTGCTCGGGCCCAGTTTGGCTCGTGCCGCTCTGGCTCTGGGTGGGGGCGGGGGTGAGAGAGGCGAGGCTCGGAGCAGAGGAGGGGGGCAAGTAGGGAAACTTAGGATCGGCGTGCTGGCTGCGTGGCTCAGGCCTTCTACGAGCTCCTCAGTCCGTCTTTCTTTCTCTTCGGGAGTCCTGACACCTACTCCTCCACCATCGCCTCGAACTCGTGGTATCCCGTGTGTGCCATGCACTCATGTTGGCCCCATCTGGGCCATGCCCTGCTTGAAGACTGCGCCCACCTGTCCAGCGCCTCGTGCACTGGCTGGTCGTGGGCCTTGCCGCTCGCGACGCTCAGGACGAGCTTGACCTTGCAAATCTCGTGGCAGTCTGTGATCTTCACTATCGGCTCAAGGTCTCCCATCTACAGAACACTGACCTGCTTCTGCTGCTGCTGCTGCTGCTGCTGCTGCTTGTTGTGATCCTCGAGCTGCGTCTTGTACGCGCGCCTCTCCGCCGCTCCCTCCGCAAGGGTGCCCTCGAATATCCCCACGCGGCACGCCGCCGAGTTGGAGCTCATCTCTGCGATCCTCTTACCGGCCTCCGCCAACGGGAGACCTGTGGGGCACTTCTGGATTGCCTTGATCCCCATCGTCATGCCGTCGAGCTCTGAAGTGTCCATGATCTTCGGGTTTCTCTTCTTTACGCCTGCTGCTACTGCACTTGCTCCCGCTGCCACTCGTGAATGCCAGTCTCCTCTCATCCGTAGCTCCATCTTGCACGGATCGGCTGCGTCTTCCTCGCGTGCCTCGAGCGGGGCCTGCAACAGCGACACGCGGTAAAGGCTGCGACAGGTGCACGGTCACAAGGCGCAGTTTGATGTAGGCAGGTCGGCAAACTCGATTGCGCATTCCGGCTCGAGGCACGTAAACTTCTGCGAGAAACCGACGGGATAGTTAAGTGTCGGCTTCTAGGCTATGCATCTTCCATGTCGGCACGGTGCTGCGATGTGATTGATGGCCGTGCGCCTGCATGCAGATGTTGCGGCACACGTCGGACACTGGCTTGACGGTATAATTGGTGAAAATGTTAAGGTGTCCGTGTTCGCCTCCTCCTCTGCGTTTGATGTGCTCGAAGTGCGCGTGCCGCGCGAAACCTTTTTTCGAGTTCCAGGCCATCCTCGCTTAGTAGAGAGCATATATACCCACCCTCGAAGCACTCCTGGTCCTCGTAGAGCCTGATGCGGGTCTCCGTCAGGAACTCTGGCCAGTTTCAGCATGTTGAACTTCAGGAACTTGGCACACAGCTCTGACACCTGGAACACCCTCAGGAAGTCGCAACCAATGTCGTCCAGAAACTCTATCCCGTCCCGAGCCTACCCAAGTAGAACAAATCGTTCTTGAACTGCAGGGCCCAGGGGTTCGCGCGGTCCTTCGGGGTGACCTCTGGAACGTACTCAGGAGCCCAGGCGAACTGTTGTGGCGCCGCGTCCTCGAAAGCGATCTTCCCAAAGACAGCGGCAGGTTCCTGAACGCGCCGATGGGGGCGGCGAGCGAGAGCTTGATAGTGCCTAAGCCGACGCGCCACAAGCTCAAAGCTGGGGAAAAACGATGTTTTCCACGTGGCATCCACACATATGGTCGTGAATTTCCACCTTTCTTCCTCTCCCTCGTCATGCAGCTGCCTGTAGGTCGCGATCCCCTGGCACAGCGCGCTAGCATGCCTGACCGCGACCGAATCGAGCTTATGTTCCCGGTCCTTCGTGAGGGCCCTCGCCTCAAGGCCTGAGACCGCTGCTCCAGTGACCCTGCTCATGAAGACGAGGCGCTAGCGCCCGAAGAAGGTGCATGCGTTCCAGAAATTGCCCATCCCACGCCAGCCCACCTGAATTGCAGAGCACCTCGCCCTAATATCCTCGTCGTTTCGTCCAGAGGTCTGGGTTCTGGCCCCCAAGAAGACCGAGGTGGCCTGCGCTTCTCCAGAGATGGGGGCCCTATGGTTTGAGGAGCGCCCTGCGGTTGAGAAGGTCTCCACCCCACAACTCTGGTTCGTAAGGTTGCCCCGCGCCCCGCTCCATCCGAATTTCAGCATCGGGAAACTCTCGTGCATGTACAGCTCATGATACGTCGGGTGATCCGTTGTCTTCTTGGCAGTCGTGCCACAGAGAAAGACAAGATCTGCAAACTTGATCTGGTGTGCCACCTCGATACGTCGGTCGTAATCAGAGAGAGAGAGAGAGAGACAGAGGGCTCCATTGCACTATCTTCATAAGGGGGCCACGCATCACAGTGCCGAGAGGAGGTGTAAGACGGCACGAGACTGCGATAGGGCCCTCATGTCCCTGGAACCTCGGGCCAGGGCTTGATGATGATGATGATGACGAAGGTTACGAGGATGATGATGATGCATATGATGATGATGATGATAATGATGACGACCACGAAGACGACGATGGTGCTGATGATGATGAAGAAGATACGCAGGATGATGCTAATGATGGGGGTGTTGAAAATGAGACTGATAGTGATACTGATAATGATGATGATGACGATGGTGACGATGGTGACGATGACGCCGATGATGATGGTGATGATGATGATGCTGATGATGATGATGATGATGATGATGATGATGATGATGATGATGACGATGCGGAGGAGGAGGAGGAGGAGGAGGAGGAGGAGGAAGAGGGAGGAGGAGGAGGAAGAGGGAGGAGGAAGAGACGAGCAGGAGACGAGCAGGAGGAGGAGAAGGAGGAGGAGGAGGAGAAGGAGGAGGAGGCGATAAGGAGGAGGAGGAGGAGGAGGAGGAGGAAACATGAGGAGGAGACGAGCAGTAGACGAGCAGGAGGAGGAGGAGGAGAAGGAGGAGGAGGAGGGGAACCGCATAGCTCGGACCTGCGAGCCCCGAGAGGCCCCGGGCCTCGACCAAGGAGGTCTGCGAGAGCCCACACGACGGCGGCTCCTGCGAGCTCACGACGCCGCAGAGGCGCCCAGCTGGACATCGACCCGGCGGGCCTCCGCCACCGAGACCTTTTCTTCTGGGGATCCCAAAATGTTGCGGTGACAGTCCGTGCGGTTACCCCGAACTCCCAGGAGACCTCACCGCATGGTCCGTTGCCGCACGGTCTTGGGACCCTGGAGGCCCCAGTCGCCCGAGACATGCGCGGAGAACGGCCCGAATCCCAAACTGTGCAGTCACCCCGAATCCTCACTGACTCACCACAACGGTGTGGTCACCGCACCGTGTGAGGGCCCCGGAGTTTTGTTCGCGGCGCGGGGCTCTGGGAGAACTCGAGCCCATCCCCGCCACGTGGGTCGGCTTCTGCGAACCCCAGGGGCGAAGAAGGTTCCCAGACTACTCGGGAAAGGATACGGAGTGATCACGTAACGCGTACTTCGTCTTCTGGGCTGTGCGCGTGTTGCTCGGTCGCTGCTGATAGGGTCGTCCGACAGGCGGGGCTCTGGTGCTGCGTCTGCTCTCCGACGGGCACCGAGGCTGAGGGATTCGCCCCGCCGCTCGCTTTCGTGCCGCCCAGTGAGAGACCTCAGCGGGCCGCACACTTACCCGCGGGGGGGCCTTCTTCCAGAAGGTGCGCTGCCTCCCCGAGGTGTGCCGGATCTCCTGGGGAAGCGCCAGAGGCAGGGGACGGATGGGTCCCGAAGTGGGGAGCAAAATAAAGACAAGCGAGAGGGAGAAGAGGACGGAAAGTGAGAAGCGCGAAGAGGAAGAAGAGGCAAGAGCAAAGAACAACCAGGGAGACGATGCGGTCGCCGCGGCAAGCAGGGGGTGTGGGGCGGGGCGCGGCGCGGCGAGCGACATCGATCAGGGTTCGTCGACGGAACCGGCGGGCGAAGAGGCGAAGATGCGGTGCGCATCGGGGGGGGCTACAGTCCAAGGAACGCTGAATAATGAACGAAGGGGCTTTTCTGGCCACGGCGAGCCTCGGCCACGAATAAGCGTCCCGACCTGGATCTACGGAGCCACCCGCAAACCAGAGCCCCTCCTCAGCCCAAAGCGGTCCGTATTTCAGCGTCTTGAGCGTACCGTGGGCCCTTCGACATTCGGTGGCCGACTCCGAAACCAGGGGCACGCCAGCTTTGACATCGTGGGGGAAAACTTCTCCGCGGAGCGCCCAGGGGGGCGTGAGAGGGGACAGGAGGCCTTCTCAGGAGGCGGCAGGTCTTCTCAGAAGCCGTCGAGCTTTCTGAGAAGCCTCTGTGGCATGGGAGTGGGCTCAGAAAGCTGCTTCACAGGCCAGAAGCCTTTTAACCCTTCGGAGGAGGCCCGCCCACTCTGGTGCCCCCCCCTGCGCTCGCCGCTGAACTTAGGGAGGGGGCAGCCTCTGGTGCTTCCGCCTGCCTCCAGCGGACCCGATGCTCCCGCCAGCCTCTGCCGTCGAGGGCGCGAAATCGGCACACCGGCTCCTCGACGAGGAAGCCCTGCTCCAAAGGGCCCAAGGACACACCAATACATACGTATGTGTATATCTATATATATATATATATATATATATATATATGTATATGTATACACCAGAACCACACACGCGCGCGCTACGCGCACACACTTGGGTTCTAGTCAACTCCAAGGACCTCATCCTCATCCTTTTCCTCCTGAACTATATCCTCATCCACGTCCATAGGAGGCACACAATCCCAGCGTCGACGTCGTCGTCGACGTCGTGGCCGCCGTCGTCGTCGCGGTCGCAGGAAAGGGAAGGAGAAGGAGGGAGAGGAGAAGGGAAGGAAGGAAAGAGGTAGGGAAGAACGGAAGCAGACAGGCAGGAGAAACAAAAAGGGGGGGGGACGGGAAATGGAGCGAGGGATGGATCAGCGAATAAAGTAAGGATTGATTGTCCTTCCTTTTCCTCACGCCTCTTGATGAGTTTCGCCCTCCCCCTTTCCCCTCTTCATCATAATCCTCCTCCTATTCCTCCTTTTCCTTCTCCTCAACCTCGTTATCCCCACCTTCGTGCTCTGCCTCCGCGCTCCCCTCTCCTCCTCGCCCTCCTCTTCCTCTTTCGACTGGCGGCAACAATCATGTTCGCAGAAGGCTTTCCAGGAACCTGATGGTGTGGGTCGCGTTGGGGCCCCCGTGTAAGGTTCCGAGGTACCTCAAGTGAGGCAGCAAAGCCCGCAGGACGGCCCAATGTAATCATTCGAAAACCTTGAGGGGGTGAGGAGGTGGAGTTTGGAAATGCCATGAAGGAGGTGTGCTATAAAATATTATACCAAAGCAACAACCGCTGGGGCTGGGAATGCCACGAAGAGGAAGGTAAGAAAGAGCGTGGGGGGCTTACGAGAAAGACCGGAATGGGTTTCGGCCTATCCCGCCACCGTCCTTGGATCGTGGGTCAAAAACCTGTAGGATGTTCGGTGGAATGTTGACGGAGGCCGTGCGGGGCCTCTTGGGGGCCGTTTCTAGGCCTCGCGTGTTTGACCATTCTGGTCCGTCCTGGGCGCCCCTAGGGCCTCCTTGGAGCCCACGCGGGCCAGCATCCTCATTGTCGTCGCCTTGCTCATCCTAACTCCTAACTCTCTGCCTCATAATTTGCCTCTGTTTACCGTCTTCCTGTCCTCCTCCTCCTCCTCCCCCGCCTTTCCCTCCTCCTCCTCCTCCTCCTCCTCCTCCTCCTCCTCATCATCATCATCATCATCATCATCATCATCATCATCATCATCATCATCATCATCATCATCATCATCATCATCATCATCATCATCATCATCGTCATCGTCATCATCATCATCATCATCATCATCATCAGCAACATCAGCAACAGCAACATCATCATCTTCGGTCTCCTCGTCGGACTGTTGGCGACAATCATGTTCTCGGGCGGCCCTCCGGAAACATGATGGCATGGGCCATTTTGGAGCCCTCGGTTCCAGGATTCACCACTTGAGGCCGTTAAGCCCGGAGGACGGCCCAGTGGAAACATTTGCACATGTTGAGATGGTTGTGAAGCTTGGAAAGGAAATCGGAGGGGCGCAATGTAACGAAACAAGAACGGTAGGAACTGGAAAACTAACGGCAATGAATGTGAGATGGCGCGGAGGGGGGGTGCACCCTCAACACCGAGTCCACTCGCAGCGGGGCCGCGGGGCCGACCTCGTTTCCGCTACGAACGGATCCCCAGGCAACGTTATTCTGAATTGGGATGTTCGGTGGGATGGCGCAGACAATCCTTCTCCTCCTCCTCCTCCTCCTCCTCCTCCTCCTCCACGGTCTCCTCGACGGTCCGACGGATTGGATGCGACAATCATGCTCCCAGAAAACTCTACGGGAACATGGTGGGTGGGGCCGTATTGGAATCCTCGTGGAGGTCGCCGGGGTACCCCAAATGAGGCTGCGAAGCCCGAAGGACAGCCAGATTGAACCATTCGGACGGCTTCGAAATGAGCAGGGGGAGGCGCTAGGTAACGAACAAAGAACGGTAGCAGCTGGGAAGGCCACGGCAAGTTTTTCTTCAAGGAGCGGAGGGGGAGTGCGCAAGAGACTGGAATGGCCTTCGACCCATTCCTCCACCGTGCCTAGGTCGGGGGTCAAAAGCCACGAGAATGCTCCGTATGATCTCGAGGGAGACTTCACGAGGGCGCCTGGGGGCCATTGTTTGGCATCTACGGGGCCGTTTCGGGGCCTTTGGGGGCGTCGTGGGGGCCTCATGGGGTTCTCTTGGGGCCACGCGGCAGCCTCTGAGGGCCATCTATAGGGGCCTTCTGGGAGCCTCGTGGTCCGAAACCCTGGAAATGTGGGTGTATTCTCCCTTGCTTGAGCCCATCTTGGGGCCGTGTCTGGGCCTCTTGGGCCGTCTGGGGCGCCCCCGGGGCCGTCATGGAACCTTATGAGGTCGTCCTGGGGCCGTCCTGGGGACCTCTTGGCCCGTCATGAAGCGGTGTTGGACGCTTCTTGGACCGCCACGGAGCGTCGGAAACTCGAACTTTGGAGGACCCCAGGAAAAACGGAAACCAACGGTTTTGGCCTCTCAGGGCGCTCGTCTGGAGCCTCGGGCGCCTACTGAGGCATGCCGGGAGCCGTCCTGGCGCCTTCTTGGGGCCTCCTGGGAGCCTCTTGGGGCGAAGGGGTCGAAATGTCGCTTCCTGTTCCCCCTCTGAAGCCAATCTTGGGTCCGTCCTTAGGGTTTCTAAGGCCGTCTTGGGCGCCCCCGGGGCCGTCATGAAGCCCTGTTAGATTGTCCTGGGGCACTTCTGTGAGCCTCGTGACCCGTCCTGAGGCGGTGTTGGAGGCCTCTTTGGCCATCGTGGACTGTCGGGCACTCGATAAGTGGAGAGCTCCGAAAATATTAGAAAACCCTAGGGAAAGCACATATTTTGGCATCTCGGGGCACTCGTGTGGATCCTCGGGCGCCCACTGCAGCTTACCCAGGGCCGTTCTGGCGCCTTCTGGACGCCTCATAGGAGCCTCTTGGGGCGAAAGATTCGACACTGGAGGAGCGAGAGCGGGGAACGCGAGTGTTTTTGGCCCTCCTAGGGGCCCGTATCTGGCCTGGGATCGGCGCGTCCCACCATGAGCCCCGGCACGGTGGAAATAAACAAATGCTCCGGCCAACACCCTCGACTCCACACAACCTGAGCATGTTGACGCCAGGTTTTTCAACCGCCGGCTTCCGCTGGTGGACACGCCGCCATCATACTTCAGCTCCGAGGGAAAGGCAGGGAGAGGACTAAAGGGAGCGGGGACCGTGCGGGAACAACCTGCTGAGGCGGAACAGACTTAGCAGGATGTCTCGCACCTGTATGGTCGCTTGTCTCGGTCGCGGGGCACGCGAGGCCTCTCAGAGGCTTCCCCACTGCGGACAAAACCGCAAAGACCCACAGTAAGACGGTCATGGAGAGGACGGCGAAGGGGTTCCTTCCTGGGATGATGAAGGCAACGACCCGCGCCATGCCGATTGAGATGGACCGATGCTGTTGGTTTGGATGTCCAGGCTATCAGAAAGGGGGTACCAAGGCATCGGCGAAGAGTCAACCACTCGACGCGGGGGTCCCAATCTATGAACCAGGCATACACATAAATGTTAGCCAGCGTGGACCCCAAGCAATGCGTCATTGCACTGTGAAGGTGCAAGCTATGCGGTGTAAACTGCGTGGTGACAGCTATCTCGTGTAAGCTACGTGATGAGAGCTATGGGGGTGAGAACTAGACGGTGTAAACTATGTGGTGCAAGCTATGCCGTGTAATCTATGCGGCGTAAGCCATGTGGTGTAAGCTAGGTGGTGAAAGCTATGAGGTGAAAACTACGTCGTGTGAGCTCGAGAGCACGGGGCGCCCAGGTGGCACCCATGAGGCGGCACGGGCGACAACGTGGCGCAAACTCGGAACACCAACCTAGCGCACGAGGCGCCCGTGAGGCGGCGCAACCTCGGGAGCCCCGCCCGTCGCACGGGGAGCCCACTACGGGCCCACGAGGGGGCACGGGCGGCAACGCGACGCAACCTCGGAGAACCCACCCAGCGCACGGGGCGCCCACGAGGCGGCACGGGCGGCAACGCGACGCAACCTCGGAGAACGCTCCTCGGCCCACGGGATGCCCGCGAGGTGGCACGGGCGCCCGGGGCCTCGGCGCCTCTGCCCAGGCCTGCCGCGACGGCTGCATCATCCCAGCCTTCCGGCGCGAGCCCGGAGAGCCCCAGACGCCCGCACAAAGGGGGAGGAAGAGAAGGAGGAGGGGGAGGAGGAGGAGGAGCAGGATAAGGAGGAGAAGGAGGAAGAAGAGGATAAGGAGGATAATGAGGAGAAGGAGGAGGAGGAAGAGGAAGAGGAACAGGATGAGGGGGAGGAGCAGGAGCAGCAGGAGGAGCGCACGCCAGGCCGGTGCTTCGGTGTGGCTCCTCGGCCAGAGGAGGGTGGCCAGCCCGCTCGCGATCCCACGCCGACCGCCAGCGACAGTCAAACTGAGGCAGCAGACGTGGCGGATCGAATGTTTTGGGCGGTTATTTCACATATAGAGGCCTCCTAGATGGGGTCCGAGTAGATGGGGTCGGAGGATCGCGCCGCATCGACGATGCATCGGCGATTCGGCGCCGTCGGCGTGGAGAAAATCGGGATCCACATCGAGCCTCATCGGCGATGCATCGGCGATGCATCGGCGATGCGGCGCGATCCTCCGACCCCATCTACTCGGACCCCTTCTGGGAGGCATAGAATGTTTGTGTGGGGGGGGGGAACAGAGCGTGACCACTGATCTCCACGACCCGGCATCAACCACGCGGACTGGGAACGCCACCCAAACCGAGCTGCGATTTACGAGCCGATGCGGGGAACCATCTGGCCATGGTGCTCGTGTCGTCGGGAAGGACCTCAGGTCCGGGGAAGTTCTGAGGAGCGCCGCGCCCGCGTCCTTGAAGCCCACCACCGACGTCCGATCTGCGCCGAACTCGCCGAGGGTCGCCTGGTCCGCGGGAGCGCCGTGCAGGGCCGCGCCCGGGCCACGCAGAAAGGAGAGGGCAGAGGGGAACGCAGGAACGACGAGCTGCGCGCCCGCGATTGATAGAGGGAGGAAAAACGGCATCGACATAAACTTCTGGAACTCCGCGCGGGTTTCTCGGATCGGCGCCGGGACCCCCCTCCCTGGCGCGCGGAGCGCCCCAAAGGCGGGGCCGCCACGGGGTTCCAGCGCCGATGCGAGAAATCAGAACAGTGTTTCGAGCTGAGGCGCGTCGTCTGCGGGCGATGAGGTGGAGGCGGCGGGGGAGGGGAGGCTGAGACAAGTCAGCGCTCGTTCCCCGAAACTTGGGGGGCACAAAGGAACCGGAGCTCTCAGCAGGACCTTGACATCCATCTCCACTCTTATCAGTCGATTCCAGACTCGGAAGCGCTCATGGCCTAGATGTGGGGGCTCTCGTGCACATGCGGTCATGAGGCGCACTTCGTGCGCCAACGCAGGTAATTAACACCCTGCAGTCCGACCTGGACCCTGTCAGGCTCACCATGGGATCGATGAAGGCAAGCTCAAGATACGTCCGGACGACCGAATGTTTACATTCAAACTGCCCCCGACAACATCAGTCAAAGAGTCAAAGTGGCCGTGGATTTGCCTCTCTGGCCACTGATCTGACCAGTCCGTCTGCCGTCGGCAAGCCAAGCTACGGGGTGGCCCAGGGGCAGCCGTGTCGTGGGTGCGACATGCCTTCCGAACCTTCCCGCGGCCCCCCACGGGTTTCGTGTGCGACGTGCCCGGGAGCTTTCCAATACTTCACAGCTGGGCCATGATTTTCCGTGTCCTCCCAAAGTGTAACCCAATCTGTGGACAGATTGTCGCCCCCTGCCCAATCTGAGGACATGTCAAAGTGGACGAAGAAACAAACGCGCATGATTCGGCTACTGCGCATCGGAAAGAGGGGGTTCGCGGTTCCACGAGCCCGTTCCAAATCGCACATGTGGTGGCTGCTCTGGGGCGAATCGACGTCGTCGCATGAACTTTATTTTCTTTCATTGTCCTTGTGCCTTTCTGGGCGGGCGGGTCATGTCTGACGAAGCCCGCGGCGTCATCATGGGGGCCCAGGGGACATCCTGGCGGGGCCTTGCTCGGTGGGCCCGTGGTAGCGGGGGGGGGCAAGGGGGCCTCGTGGCCTTCCCTAGGGGCTATCATTATGAGGTCAGCGCTGGCTCAGGGCTTCGCGGACCTGCAATGACAGGCAAACAATAACGCTACCGAGGAACCCCACGTACTGATATGATAGCTGGAGTGATGATAGCTGAAGTGAAACATGTGATAATGATGTTGGTGGCCGCTGCCCCGCCGATACCGTTGGTAACGCCAGTCAGAAGGAGAGTTGCGAGGCCAAACGACAACGGCCGCACCCCCAGCGCACCCCCTGTGGCGTCGAAAAAAAGCCACGCGTGTCACGCTTTGCGAGGCCGAAACGGATAGCGGCCGCACCCCCAGCGCACCCCCTGTGGCGTCGAGAAGGTGCCACGCCTGCCGCACGTGCAAGCCCGAAGAGCATAGCGACCGCACCCCCAGAGCACCCCCTGTGGCGTCGAGGAAGTACCACGCCTGCCACGCTTTGCGAGCCCGAAGCGGATATCGACCGCACCCCCAGCGCACCCCCTGTGGCGTCGAGAAGGTGCCACGCCTGCCACGCTGTGCAAGCCCGAAACGACAAGCGACAACACCCCCAGTGCACTCCCTTCGGCGTCGAGAAGTTGCCACGCCTGCCACGCTGTGCAAGCCCGAAACGCATAACGACCGCACCCCCCTCGGCGTCGAGAAAAAGCCACGCCTGCCACGCTTTGCGATGCCGAAACGGATAACGACCGCACCCCCAACGCACCCCGTGTGGCGTCGAGAAAGTGCCACGCCTGCCACGCTTTGCGAAGCCGAAACGGATAGCGACCGCACCCCCAGCGCACCCCCTGTGGCGTCGAGAAAAAAACACGCCTGCCACGCGCTGCGGGCCCGAAACGCACGGCGATCGCACCCCCAGCGCACCCCATGTGGCTTCGAAAAAAGCACGCCTGCCACGCCTTGCAAGGCCGAAACGGATAACGACCGCACCCCTAGCGCACCCCATATGGCGTCGAGAAAGTGCTACGCCGGCCGCACCAGCGCGCCCCCTGTGGCGACGAGAAAGTGCCACGCCTGCCACGCTTTGCGGGCCCGACATGGATAGCGGCCGCACCCCCAGCGCACCCCCCTCGGCGTCGAGAAGTAGCCACGCCTGCCACGCTTTGCGAGGCCGAAGCGGATAGCGGCCGCACCCCCAGCGCACCCCCTGTGGCGTCGAGAAAGTGCCACGCCTGCCACGCTTTGCGAGGCCGAAACGGATAGCGGCCGCACCCCCAGCGCACCCCCTGTGGCGTCGAGAGAAGGCCAAGCTTGCCACACGCTTTGCGAGCCCGAAACGGGTAGCGACCGCACCCCCAACGCAACCCCTGTGGCGTCGAGGGCGTGTCACGCCAGCCACGCTGTGCGAGCCCGAAACGGATAGCGGCCGCACCCCCAGCGCACCCCCTGCGGCGTCGAGAAAGTGCCACGCCTGCCACGCTTTGCGAGGCCGAAACGGATAGCGACCGCACCCCCAGCGCACCCCCTGTGGCATCGAGAACATGCCACGCTTGCCACACGCTGCGTGCCCGAAACGGGTAGCGACCGCACCCCCAGCGCACCCCCTGTGGCGTCGAGAAGGCACGCCTGCCACGCCTTGCAAGGGCGTAGCGGATAGCGACCGCACCCCCAGTGCACCCCCTGTGGCGTCGAGAAAAAGCCACGCCTGCCACGCTTTGCGATGCCGAAACACATAGCGACCGCACCCCCCAGCGCACCTCCTGTGGCATCGAAAAAATGTCACGCCTGCCACGCTTTGCGAGCCCGAAACAGCGACCGCACCCCCTGCGCACCCCCTTGTAGCATCGAGAAGAGGCACGCTGTGATATGTGTGTCAGGCTACACGTGGACGCGAGTCTCATGGGTGCGCCCATCATGTGTCTCAAGAGAACGGAAGAGGAGGAGGGGATGTGCGCGGGAGACGCGGGTGCGACGCGGCAGGGGTGAAAACCCAAACCCCACGAAACATGTGGGGAACAACATCGGGTCCAGCGGCGTGTTTTGGCGGCGAGGTGACGTTTTACATTGCCTCAATCTTGGATACTCCGCCACCATACCTTCAGCACGTTCGGGTCTGCCCTCAAGCTCATGCAATTTTCCGCCGCCGTGTCTCCAACACGCAATGTAGTTCCCCAGGGCTCATGCGGCTTTCCGTGCCAAATTATCAATTTGCAAGATTTCTCTGACTTTTTAGCGATGTGCCGGTGGGGTCCCGGGAAGCCCGATCAGCCTAAACCGACCCCAACCTGCCCTGGCGCTGTCCAAGAAACGCTCGCCACCTCTCAGGGGCGCTTTCGATACCGGAAGAGGCGAAAAGACCCAGCTCATAGAGGCAGTTAAAAGTTATGTGCGCCTTGTCGGTTGGCCCCTTATGTGCCCCAAAGGCCCCAGGAAGGCTCAAAAGCAAACCCCTGGGGCGTCGTCTGACGCTGCGATGGCGCCGATCCACGGCCCTGAATGTTGCGCGGACGCGTCGTGAACCAATGGCGGACAACATCACAACAACTCTCAACGTCTGGACACCTTGTGCACGGTCGTCTTGGATGGGCAGTTATGGGAGGCCTACTGGGTCTTCTCGGGTGTTCCTGGGGCGCCGTGACCGAGAAGGCCAACGCAAATATTATATTTTCTGCCAATCCCGCGGCCCCGCGGCGCTGCCAGGACGCCCCCGGAAAGCCTGACGCAGGGGAAACAGACATTGATATTTCTGCGGGCGCCCGCCGTCGGCAACCGCGAGGCGCGGCCAGCGGGGCGGGCGCAGGCGGCGCAGCGAGGAACCCCTCGCGTAGGCCCTTACTCCCGGCCCAGATGCGACCAAACCCGGGGGGGCTTCTTCGCGAAAGCATTCCTCCTCTTTTCCTCCTCCGCCTGCTCCTCCTCCTCCTCCTCCTCCTCCTCGTCCTCCTGCTCCTCCGCCCCCCCCCCGACCTTCGCGGTCCCATTCCCTGCCCATTGCCCCGTCGTCTGCATCCTTACCTGAGAAGCACTTGCTGTATGCGCCAGTCCTCTTACATGATCCCCCTGCTTGCCTCTCCCGCGCCGCGGCCGGGATCGCCCCGTCACCCGCCGCGCCCCATCGCGCCCCCTGTCTGCGTCGCACTAACTTGGGCGACGCGCCTAGGTCGGCGAAGTGCTGGAGCAGGTGCAACTGGGGAGCGGCCCTCGCCGCGGTTGTTCACCGTTAACTGGTTCTGGGAAGCCTGATGGGCAAAGCACGTCGGTCGATGCAATTTCCGAGAGGGGCGTCGCCGCGGCTGGACTCGCCTCGACGTCCCAGTCGGATCCGTTAGCTTCGCCTTTTCAAGCCCTGGGCGGGAACGTCGCCGCGGCTGGACTCGCCTCGAAACCCCAAGCGGATCGCGTCCTGGGACGGGGTCCTGGGAACGTCGGCAATCGGCACTGCCCCTGCTCCTCTGGGTCGAAGCAGTCCTTCGGGATGCCACGACGGCCCAGAGCGTCACCTTGCATCGTGGCGACGCGCCCGGGAGACTGGCTCCCACGCCGTGGACAGACGAGGCCCGTCGGCGGGGAAGCCGAACGCCCCGGCGACGCGGCGGGGCGGCGCGCCTGGCGGCGCCGCCGGGTCGACCCGGTTCCGCGCGGCGCGCGTGGGGGCGCGGACCAAGGCGCCCGTCTTTTTCGGTTCGGGCCGCCGCCGCCGCCGCCGCCCGGGAGACTCGGTTGGAACTCTTGGCGATCGCCACGGCCTTTGGGTCGATTTGGACCTGCGCCAAACACCTGCGCCCGACCAGCTCCCTCATCGTCCGGAAGTTGTTGGCGGCTATGTGGGCGATCGGCGAGATCCAGGGCACGCGCGAGCCCGCGCGGGTGCAGGCCGCGCTCATGTGTACGATCTCAGCATGGACCCAGTCCACGCAGTGGTCCGTGATGAACGCCGCGGAGTCCGCAGCCGCGACCCCGAGGGTCGTCCAGAAGGCGCCCCCTCCGGGCGACGCGTTGATTTTCGCGACGACATTCAGATCCGCGATGAGGCAGCAGAAGATCACCACCACCAAATACACGGGTCCTAAGAAAGGGCCCGCGCGCATTCGCTGCCACGACCCGAGCCAAGTTGGCTCGCGCGTCGAGGCTGGTCCCCCCGCTCCGACTTGCCCCCCTGCCACCCCATCCCCATCCACCGCGATCCCCCCTCTCATCTGCCACTCCGCATGGTCCACCTACTAAACAGATCCCACCAGCCCTCTGGGCGCAGGAAGTCTAGAGCGCTTCCTTTTCCAACTTCCTGCCTTTCCCTGCTCGGGAGGTTTACTCCCCCCCCCCCCCTCCCTGCGCCTGGACGGGCTCCCCCGCGATGTGTCAGAGGGTCCTTTTTGGTCCAAGATGGCTCCAAGAGGGCTCCAGAGAGTGCAAGATGGCCTTCAAGATGGTCGAAGATAGCAGTAGATGGGTCAAGATAGCCTCCGACACACGTCCAAGCGGCCTCAAGACGGCCCCAAGACGGTTTCAAGTGCCCTCCGAGGCCTCCAAGGACCCCCCCAAGAGGCCAACACCCTTCAAAAACCCACGGGAAATCAATGTGTTTTGCCTTCTCGCTTTTTCGCCTCCAGTGGGCGTCTCAAGATGGCCCCAAGACGGCCCAAGGCATCCCCAAGAGGGGTCCAAGAGGA